AGGAAGGAGGCGACAAGACCCAGAGCGCTGGAGAGGTCCTGCGACGGTCATTTCGAAGGAGAAGAATGGACGATGTTACATGTCGTGGAGAGGGCATATCCTTCTTGTTGCGCGGGGACGACTACGTTATGCATCTTCGGTTCAGGCGGCTGCCGCAAACGAAATTTCGGCAGACCTCGGCAAAACCTCCGAGAAGGATGACAAGACATACCGCGATACTGTGGATGTGACGGCCACGCCAAAGGTGCACGAGCGCGTTAAGAAATCCATTTCCAAGAAGCATGAACCTAACATGAAGGAGCTGGCAACCCTGAAGGTGGATCTTAAGGCGCTGCAAGCTTTGAACGCCCCTGTGGGTGCCCCTACGCGGCAAGCGCCGGAATCCAGAAAGAGTTCGAGTCCTATGTCTGTGCCGCCGCTGGAGCCTCCGGCTCTTGCGGAACGTCCCCCTGAGGGAGGAGCAAGTTCCAGTGCAACTCCGTCGCCGGAACCCGCGGGTATGGATCTAAGCAAGCTTCCGGCGATGCCCGATGACGAGTTCGACGCAGAGCGAAAGCGGAAATTTCTCTTGGACGACGTGCCCGTGAGCATCAAGAGGACACGCATTCAGGAGCAACCGCCATCTGGACTGGCAGCTCTCCAGACGGTGGAGATGAGCTTCGTGGTGCACGTGGACGGGCACGAATGGTTGGACAAGGGCCATCTTGCAGGCTCATCTACTTTGCTACGTAAACACGTGCAAGGTGCTCGCTTGCACGCGCAGCCCCGGCGCCGGCTCTACGACCGCCCGAGGCACAAAACGCGCAACAAGCTCAGTGTTATGGTTACGGAAGATGTTGCATGTACATTGAAGGATGACAACATGGAGCGGCATAACGAAAGATGCATTTCGCGTGAAGGGGATGACGATCTTTTACCACGACATCCCATGATATACTGCAGTTGGCACGTACTTCCTTGACACTCCAGTTGGATTGGTTAAAGGTGCCACTTACTTACGAAGAGTTGGACAACGTTTCCGATGTATTCCAGACCTGGGATCACGACGCCAGATTTGATCCTGATGTGTTCGCCATGGTGCTCAAGACCAATGCGAAAGAGTTGGATCCTCGGTTCTTCAACGTGGAGGAAAGGAAGCTGTTCGACGCCGCCGACGAGGCTGAGTGGAAAGAATGGCTGGCCAACGGCGCCGTGGAGCTCGTGGACAAACATATGGAAAAACACATCCCGAAAGACAAGATCACCAACGTGCCCATGAAGCACGTGCGGACAAACAGGGGGAAGGCGCCGGACATCGAGGCCAAATCACGTTTGATCATTCCTGGACAGTACGCGCGACCATCGCCATCAGCTTCGACTGGAGCTTCGGCTTTCTTGTCGGGTATGCGTCTGGACCAGGAGCTGTACGTCCGAGCCCCCAAGGACGGACTCCCCTCCCCTCCAGGATCCGGTTGGCCACCCGTGCGCCCGTATGCTCTTCTCCGTCTACTGAAAGGCGCTTATGGGCTGACAGGGGCACCACGACTATGGTATCTCAAGGCGCGACGGGTGCTGGTGGACATTTTGCACTTCGTGGAACTACGCTGCGCGAGAGCGGTTTTCGTGAAGAGGGTCAGCGGGAAGATCATTGCATTACTCACTTTGCATGTTGATGATGCCATAATGTTCGGTAACACCTCTTCTACGGAGTATCGGCAAGTTAAGACTGACATCAACAACAACTTCAACGTGAAGCATTGGAAGCCGGGGAACGGCAGGGACCCCGTAGATATCTAGGAGAGCATTGGTACTGGCACCTGGACTGCATCGAGATCAGCATGCACGATTACATAGAAAAATTACAGCCTATCCGCATTAAGCGCGACGACAACGACACGAGGGTCATGAGTCCAGCTGAGGTGCAGGAGTTCCGTAGCGTGTTGGCCAAGGTGCGGTGGCCTGTGGCACGTTTGGTACCGCAGCTGGCCTACGGAGTGTCGGCCCTTTCGCAAAAGGACTCTAAAGACAAGCAGGTGCTACACTTACGAGCTCTTAACGAGTTGATCGACCACTTGAAGGGTTACGACAGACAGGGGCTGGCAACATTGCGCCTCCAGAAGCTAAACACAAATAGTTTGATGGTTCACGTTGATGGACGCCTCTTTTGCCAGGGAGGTTGGCTGTAAGAGCCAAATGGGTTTCATGACCATGATGACGGAGGTTGGCATTCAGACAGGCCCGAGCATTTGCGATTTGGTGGAATTTCAGAGCAACGCTATCACGAGAGTTGTTGTTTTCACAATGGCGGCCGAGTCGGCGGCAATGTCAGTAGCCCTGGACAGGCAGTTGTATCTGCGCCTGCTCATCGAAAACGTCCTTTTCGGCGAGCCTGATCTTCAAGGCGACTGGCGGCTCAAATTGAGGATCCCTGGGGCATTGGTTACGGACGCAAAATCATTATTTGACCATATGAGCAAGATCGGATCTCTGCCGGTATCGCGGCAAACCCTCATCGAATTGCTTGTGGCCCAGGACCTCATCGACCAGGAGACCATCAAATTGAAGCGGCTCCCGAACGCGCACATGTTGGCAGACATTCTGACGAAGGCGGTGCAGCCAAGACTGGTCTCTTCAGCCTCGTCCCGACGAGTCAGCAGGAGAGCGAGGAACGACACCGCCTGGCGTTACGACAGAGACAGCGTGAACGAGCGAAGGAGAAGAAGGCCCATGGCAGCGCGTGGCTGGGAACGTGGGAGCTGCGTCTCCCTAGTGATGGGGCCGCCGCGCGGGCCCCCACAGTAGAGACGGAGAGTTGCATCTCTCCTCCGATCGGGGCTGTGGTCCGATCTTGCTTTGGTGAGTTGGCAGGAGCTGCGCCTCCAGCATGGTAGGGCTAACTGGTGCTCAGGACGCGCCGGCCGGGATTCTGGCAGGGACCGGCAGATGGTCGGCATGTTTTCCCACCCAGTGTAAGAATTTAAGGGGTGCCCCGCCTGTCTGCCTCAGCCTGCCCCCGTCGGGTCCCCCTTCGCGCCAAAGGAGCGCCACGCACGATTTGTTAAGATCACTCTCCCTTCACTTTTTAACGCTATTGCCATTTCGGCCCCAGTGTTGGGGCCCCAACACAGCATCGGCGCCGCGCGCCCGCTGAGAAAAAACATCACTGACAAAGATTACTTCAAGAGCGCATGGGAGACCGCTCCAAGACGGCTCCAAGTGGCCAAAGAGTTCCCCCAGGAGGCCCCGAAGAGGCAAGCATCCTTCCCAAACCTTTGGGAAATCCATGTTTTTGGCTTTCTCGCTTTTTCGTTACGTATGGCCATCCGAGGCCTCAAGATGGCTCCAAGATGGCCTAAGAGGGCTCCAAGAGCGCTCCCAGGGTTCCCAAGAGCGCTTCAAGAGGACCCCAAGAGGCGCCCAGGAGGCCCAGGAGGCCCCAACAGGCGCCCAAGAGGCCTCCAATAGGCTCTCAAGAGACCCCCAAGAGGCCCCAAGAAGCTTTCCGAGGCACCCAAGACGCTCTAAGAGGCGTCCGTGACCGCCAAGAGGCCCCCAAGATGCTCCAAGCGGCCTCCACTGGGGGACCCTTCCTTGATCCTGATCCTGATCGAGGCAATTCCTCTGGGCATCGTTTCTGGATGGGCTGGTGGGGTTACGCGAGGCGTCTAGATAGAATTTCCTGAATCCTCCTTTTCGGTCTGTTTTCGGCTTGGAAAGAAACAAAAAATGAATGGGCGTTGCCTCTGAGATATCGGCCTTAGAATGCTTGCTATAATCCATCCCGTTGTTCAAGACTTGGGGCAACGTTTCTGAAAACCTAGACATCACGTTTACTCAGGGAGCGGTATAGTATTCGGATTACATATCATGCCCGTGGGGATTCAATACAATTATGGTGGGTGGACACAAATCGCCTGGACAACTTTCGCTCAACCGGATAGAAATTGCAGTTGGCACGACAGCCTGAACAAAACCTACGATTGCCAATCTGGTGCCACGGGTGCGAAGTCCTGGGGACATCTTCAGCAAGGAGAGGAGGAAGAAACAACAAGAAGAGATGGTCAATACTTGTGAATCGTACCATTGTTTGCCCAAACCTTGCAATAACAAACCAAACCAATAAAAACAAATTGTATCACCCTATGCGAACCCAACGCCCCCATGTGACAAAACCAGTACTACAAAACCGAAACAAATATTCAATTGTAATCCGACTGGTGAGATTGGACATTCGAACGGCGATTGCACCCAACGGAATTTCTCCAATCGTTTTCCCGCGCGCGGCCAGAATTCACACGGTAACGCCCCATCGAACTCCGAACGGGTGCCTCCAACACACTAACGCATGCAAGAATTTACCTATACTGATTTGGTTTGGCCCACCAATACTTGAAGTCATAAAACAAACAACCAACCGTAAATACCGCTTGGGAATAGTAGCACCCACGGCCGGCAATCTGTAAAAGACGAATGTGGTCTGCAGAAACTGAACGTCTCTGTGCTCACGGAATTCTGCTGCAATTGCTACACAGTAGTCAAACATACAAGCGGTTTTCAAACATGCGCCCTTGCGGCGGAAGACCATAATTAACATACTCACTGATCGCGGAAACCATGGTACTGTGCTGCACGTGTGGGGAAGCATGCGGGCGGCGGGACGCCATGCGGAATACCTACCAAGCGAGAGACAACGAGAGACAACAATAGACAAGATGAGAGAACGGAAACTAATGGGCGACCTGTGGGCGACAGCAGCAGACACCGGGGGACATCCAGCGCCGAATCAATTCCAGGTCTGAGTCCTACGACGGCGCCAGGCCCTCAAGAGGCCCCAAGAGGCCCCCGGGAGGCTCCCACGAGACTCGAAGAGGCAATCAAGAGGCCCCAAAGAGGCCCCCAAGAAGCCCCCAAAGGCAATCCAAGCGGCCCCCAATCCGCCAACGTGCCACGTCGTGCCCGTCTTCGGAAGGGGGTTGGCGCGAGGGGGCTCGCCTTTCAAGAAGTCGATGGGCCTCTCAGAGGGCACGGGGCCTCCTGAGAAGGGTCCAGAGGCTTCTCGGAAGCCTTCTCGATAGCAAAAGGGGGGGGCTGCTGAGAAAGCGCCCACCTTCTCAGACACATCCCCTCCGCCTTCCTAGGAGTGCCGCGCGCGTCGCGCCGCGTTCCCCTGCGCGCGCCGCCAAGAGGACGAGAACAAGAGGAGGGCGAGGAGGAGGAGGGAGGATGAGGACGAGGGCGAGGAGGAGCGGGAGGGCGAGGGCGAAGAGGAGGAGGAGGAGGAGGAGGAGGAGGAGGAGGAGGAGGAGGAGGAGGAGGAGGACGGAGGGGGGGAGCAAGAACGAAGAGGAGGGACGAGCAGGAGGAGGATGAGGAGGAGGAGGAGGAGGACGAGGGCGAAGAGGAGGAGGAGGCGGAGGAGGAGGAGGAGGACGAAGAGGAAACCGCAACTCACTATTATTGTGGCTCGTGCCGCCTCGAGATCCGCTTTTTGGCGGAAGCCCGAGCGGCCGCTGCCGCCCCGCCGCGCGCTGCTCCCGCTGCCCTTCCCCTGTGAGATCCTCCTCCTCCTCCTCCTCCTGCTCCTGCTCCTCCTCCTCCTGCTCCTCCTCCCTCCTCCCCCCCGCAGTGCATACTCTTCGTGCTACCAGAAGGGACGCTGAATAAGGAATGAAGGAGCTGTTCTGCCCACAGTGAGCCTCGGCCGCGAATAGGTTCCCCGACGTAGACCTGAAGACCACCCCGAAAATCATGGCACCTCATGGGGCGAACGTGGTGCTTATCTCAGCGTCGCCTTGGCTGCCGTGCCTTGTCGGATTACCAAGTGCGCCTCATCCATTGAAGTTTTGACCATGCTTGGCCCTGCAATGCAAACCAACATAATTTCTCCATGGTGACCATCATCGCTGGGCGTCTCATCTGGAGGGATGTGGTAAGGATGCAAATTCCTTGGATGGCCATGTTCGCGTTTTCGAAAGGGGTTAGCCAGCAAAAGTCGCCAAGGATGGTACGAAGGGGCGAAGCGGCAATGATGCAAGGGTAACTAACCTTGGAAAATTGCCAGTCCATACTCGGCGACTTGATTGGAAGTCATCCAGAGTAACCGTCGCCAGGCGTCTCACTCTTGAACACCGTCGACGCATCATGGGGGAAGCTGCTGCCTCTCGGGCTTGGCTGGGCTGGGACATTCGGCGGCGTGCCGCCAAGGCGTTCGCCTGCAGGCGCCGGCTCGCCTCGGCATTCCCGAACACTTTGTCCCCGCAGTGGAGCGGGAACTGAGTATCGTTTAACCGATCCCCATCCCCAGCGGCGTGGCCTGGGCCCCACTGGCCGATTTACCTCCCTAGATGGGGATACAGGCCGTTCCCTTCGGGTTTCGAGGGGTGTACCCCCAACCGGGGTGGTAATTTCATGGGGGTCTCGAACAAGATGAGGATGGCGATGGGGGTCGGATAAACGGTACTGACTGCAGGCGCCGGCTCGCCTCGGCGTTCCCGAACACTTTCCCGCCGCAGTGGAGCGGGAATCCAGGAGGAGGAGGCGGAGGAGGAGGAGGAGGAGGAGCAGGAAGAGGAGAAGGAGGAGGAGGAGGCGGAGGAGGAGGAGGAGGAGGAGGAGGAAGAGGAGAAGGAGGAGGAGGAGGAGCAGGAGGAGGAGACTCACAAGAGCTTCTGCTCCCGAGACGACGGGCGCTTTGGGGAGGCGTGTTGTGAAGGCACGCCTGGGCAGGGCGCGCGGGGGATGGGCGCGCCGGGGAATGGAGGGCGCGCGCCGGGAGGGCGCGCCGGGAGGGCGCGCCGGGAGGGTTCGCGGGGAGAGGCGAGCTTCGCCGCTCGCCGCGCCGCCGTCGCCATTGTGGCTGGCGCCAAGACGCTCGACGGTGCCGTCGCCTGCGTGCTCTCGGCGGTCAGCTTCGCCATTGCGAGAAAACGCAACCTGGTGGACTTCGGGGCCCGTTCCACCGCGTGCTTCGGCGACGCGGCTTTGGCGCGCGGGGAGGGCTCGCGATGAGGGCGCGCCGGGAGGGCACGCCAGGAGAGCGCGCGGGAGGGCGCGCGGGGGTGGCCCGCGGGGAGAGGAGAGCGTGCTGTGGGGTCGCGCGGGGAGGGCGCTCTGGTCGCAAGGCGAGCGTTCAGCAGATCACCAGGCTGCCAATAATTACCCTTCTTGTTCTCCATTGTGATGGCGGTCATCATGCACGGCGCAAGGCGGAAATTTAAAGGCTCGGGTTAGCCCACTCAAGTTCCATTCCAGTCAGTGTACGCCGACGACACTTTGATCGTGGGAGAAGGAAAGTAGTGCGCGTACCAGCGGATGGCCTCCCAAGGAGGCCCTACAAGAGTTCCAAGATGCCCCAAAGAGGCTTTCCATGTGCCTCCCAACAAACCCAGAATTACCTTCAAGAGGCCTCCTCTTTTCCACAACCCAAGCACGGTGGCGGGATGGGCCAAAAACCACTGGGCACAACGAAGAGAGCTAGAACGGGGAGGTGTTTGTTGCGCGGCAGCAGAATTGTGTGCTGGCTCTATTTTGGTCGTTCTCCGCGCCATCTCCTCCTCCTCGTCCTCCTCCTCCTCATCCTCTGTCTCCTCCTCCTCCTCGTCCTCCTCCTCCTCCTCCTCCTCCTCATCCTCCTCTCCTGCCCCTCCACCCGTCTGTCCTCTCGTTCTCCACCTCCTCCTGATCCACTGGGACAGAAGGGCGTGAATGGGGCCCCCGTCGGGCCTCCCGCACGCCGTCGCCGTCGCCGACCGACAAGAATCCGACTAGAATCGGTCCCCAGGTGAGTCATGGCCACTCTTCCGGGCCCCATCCTGCAGCGGCGGCGAGAGCCTTCAGCAAGGCCCAACGACCTCCGACATGAAATCTGAGCCGCCGCGGCCGCGACCACCGCCGCCGCGGCTGTCGTTGTCGCCGTGGCCGCGGCCGCGGCCGTGGCCGTGGCCGCGGCCGCGACCGTGGCCGTCGTCGGCGCCGTCGTCGTCGTCGTCGTCGTCGTCGTCGTCGTCGTCGTCGTCGTCGTCGTCGTCGTCGTCGTCGTGGTCGTCGTCGTCGTCGTCGTGGTCGTGGCCGTCGCCGTCGTCCGCGTCCCCCTCTTCCTTCCCCCGTGGGCCAGCGGCGCCGGGGATCCGCCCTCCGTTCAGGGCTGGATGCACTTGACGCGCTCGCGGATGTCCGCCCGGCAGATGGGGCACGCATCCTCTCCGAGACGTCGCCATCGAGATCGTCATCGAGGTCATCGCCCTCGATATCGTCGCCGAAGTCGTCATCCTCGATGTCGTCGTTCTCGATATCATCGAGAACGACGACGTCGCCGTCGACGTCTTCGTCCTCGATATCGGCTTCGAGGTCGTCGTCGATATCGTCATCGAGGTATTCATCGTCGTCGTCCTCGTCATCGTCCTCTTACCCCTGTTTCTCATGCGACTCTGAGGGGAGAATGGTGAGGGGGAGGAAAGGTCGCGTCCTCCTCCTCCTCCTGCTCCTCCTCCTCCTCTTCCTCCTCATCTTCCTCCTCCTCCTCCTCCTCTTCCTCCTCCTCCTCCCCCTTATCCTCCTCCTCCTCCTCCTCCTCCTCGCATTCTCCTTACTCCTCCTTACTCCTCCTCCTCCTCCTCCTCCTCCTCCTCCTCCTCCTCCTCCTCCGTCCTCCTTCCCAGTCCTCCTTCTCCTCCTTCATCTTCCTCCCAATCCTCCTCCTCCGTCCTCCTCCGTCCTCCTCCGTCGCATTATCGTCGGGTCCTCCATCGGGGAGAGGGATCGGCAGCAATAAAGCGACGATGACCTGGAAATAGGAAACATGGGGTGGAAAGGGATGAGATGGGAGGGACAACGAGGAGAGCGAGGAGCAAGGAGGAACGATAGTGATGCATGAGAAGGGTGGATGAGGAGCCCTCGGGAGGACGACCGAGGGGGAGGAAGACCGAGAGGAACGAGGAAGATGAGGAGGATGACCAAGGGTAAGGGTACGCGTCCAGCTGAGCACCGCAGGCCTCGCAAGTGCAGAGGTGCCTGCAGGGCATAAACAGCGTGGTCTTGGCGGCCTGCGGGAGGCCTCCTCCGTCTTCCCCCCCTCCCCCTCCTCCTCTTTTCCTGCCCTTCCTCCTCATGCCCCCCCGGCTACTTCCTTCGTCCCCCCCCCGCCTCCTCCTCCTCCTCCTCCTCCTCCTCCTCCTCCTCCTCCTCCTCCTGTCCTGCCCTTCGCGCTCCTCCACGATCCGCACTTCGCCCCTCCTCCCTCTTTCCTCTCCCTCCTCCCTCTTGACGTCCTCCTCATCCGCAGGCGGAGGAGGCAAGGGGAGAACGATGAGGACAGGATGAGGAGGGGGCGAGGAGGAGGGCGAGGAGGAGGAGGAGGAGGAGGACGAGGAGGAGGAGGAGGACAGGATGGGGAGGGGGCGAGGAGGAGGATGAGGATGATGAGGAGGAGGAGGAAAAGGGGGGCGAGGAAGATGGGGCCGGATAAGATGACAGATCTATCCACGACTGGGGGACGGATGGGGGGATAACGGGGAAGAAGGGGGGAGGGAGGAGGGAGGACCAGAATGGCGGGCGAGGAGGGTGCGCAGGAGCAGGAGATGCAGGAGGATACAGCAGAACTGTGGTGCAAGTGGCAACAGATGGGGCCAATAACGGCCCACCGGGTGAGGGGGGCAAGCCTCCGCGCACACCACGCACATCTGCTCCTACAGGCGGGGGAGTAGGCCGTCGTGGTCTTCGTCGCCGCAGCGGTGTTCGTCGTGGTCGTGGTCGTCCACGTCGCCATCGCTCTCGTCAGCATCACCATCAGCGTCAACGTTGGCAAGATCGCCCATGCGAACACGCTGGTTTGGCATTCGCCCAAATAGCTTTCCCACTTTCGGCGGGCGGGTCTCACCTCCTCACACGCGGAAGGTGAAGAACTGACGTGAGTTCTCCTCGTCCTCCTCCTCCAGCTCCTCCTCCTGTGTTTTGTTGTCTGATTATTTTTCGTCTCCTCCTCCTCCTCCTCCTCCTCCAAGAATCTCCCTCAACTTATCACCATCGTCGCTGCCAACGTCGTCGCGACCAGTTGTGTCCGACCGCTGTGATGTTGGTGCGTCCCTAGTCTGGCCTTGTCCAGCGAACGTGACCTGGAAGTTGTGGCAACCAATCGTCCGAAAAAGCATGAGGTGGCGGTGCCAGGGCCGCTGGTGGTGCCAACGAGTACACTCTCATCCGCAATTTTCAGCAACTTTATTTGCGCTCACGACGGCCGAACATGAACGACTCGAATGGTAACAACTGATCGCCACGGCGCTGGTGAACGACGTGTCACGTATGGGTTGACTGTTATCGGGTTCTCATCAGAGTGGGGGTGCCTTTTGGAGGTCCGCCCAGGTGATCAGCATCGTGTGCTGCGACTGGTGTGGCCTGCTGGGCCAGCAAGGTCGGTCGTGGACCAGACGCCCAGGACAGGAGAGGTATCGAAAAAATATCGAGCCTGTTCGAGGTCGATCTGTCGGATCCTATGTCTCCAGACGGTGACCAGGGAGAGGAACGATGCGGACGCCATCGAACAAGTATATTGAAGGCATCTTTTCTCCGTCCTCTTGCAATGTGGCCGAAAGCATAGTGCGAGGCTGGCAGAAAGCTCCCAATCACATTATGCCGGGTGCTGCGAGCTCGGGAACACGGCGCCAGGCGTGACAGATTCGCAACCTCTGATGCCACTTGCCCACGTTTCAGGCGGAATGTCCAGACTATCACCACATACGTACCACTATTGCACAATGTCGTGGTCTGCCTGCCAGTGTCTGGACCTCTTGCTCTAAAAGCAAGGCGAAGAGCAGATGGGTCACCGTCCTAGTCGCAGTCTGCTGTTCAGTGTTATGAGAAGACGACTGGTGCTTGCGAGCTGGGGATTTGAATTCTTGGACAATCTCATTCACAACGTCGTATCCTCATGAAGGACTTCTTTACCGATGTTTGAATCCCAATATAGCTTATTCCACACACGCTGTTCTTCCTTTCGCGTCGTCATCGTTCTCTCCACCTTGGGCATGGGGAATCGATCTGTGAGGTGTCTCCTCATCGTCCACCTGCTGACGACGCTCCCGTTCGAAGAGCCCAGGGGCTGCGGCAATCAGCAGCAGACGCAACAAGAAGCAGCCCGCCGATGAAGACTACTGTGATGACGATAGGGGGGACTACCAAGGTCTGGCAAAGATGGAGGTCGCCCGACGGAAATTGCGCTGCCCTGGCAAGTGGAGACGGGGCAGGGGGAGGATGAGGGGGGAGGAGGAGGAGGCGGAGGAAGGGAGGAAGGATAAGGAGGGGTAGAGCAATAGCGAGGATGAAGAGAAGGAGACATCAAGGCAACGCGCGCAGAAACACTGAGAACCTGTCCTGAATTTGCATCCCGCACGCCACACGTCAAACCATGTGCCGGCTGCCTGCCTTATGCCGTTGGAAGGCTGGTATGGTACTCAAGACGCAGCAGCAGGGCATAGCCCAAGGTCTTGCAGCAAGCAGCAACGAAACTGAACATTATGCACAGCGCAAGCTCCGCTTCTGGTGTCAGAGCTGCGTGGTCCTGACCAGGGAGGCACTCTGGACGACGAGAGCTCCTCCTCTTCCTCCTCGTTCTCATTATGTTTCCTCATCCTTCATCACGTCGTCTTCCATCCTCCCCATATCCTGTTGCTGACAAACACGTGAAGCACCTTCCACGCCTGCCGCGCCGTGGCGGGTAATAATCGGCAACCGTGGGGTGGGGGGGCTGGTGCACTGCATCTGCCATGAACCGGCTGTCTTGCGCCTGTAGGAGGAAGACCAGGATGACAAAAGGACAGCCACATGAGGATAATGATCAGGACCAGCAGGAAGAGGGGGGCGGCGAGGAGCAAGACGAGGACGAGGACAGGAACAACAACAACAACAACAACAACAACAACAACAACAACAGGAGGAGGAGGAGGAGGAGGAGTGCGACGAGCAGGAGCAGAAGGGCTGCGAGCACGACAAGGAAGACGACGAGGTGAGCGAGGGAGGAGGAGGAGGAGGGAGAGGAGGGTGAGGAGAACGAGGAGGACGACGACGACAACGACGAGGAAGAGGGAATATGTGGGAGGGAAGAGGAGGAGGAGGAGGGAAGATCCGCGTGCAGGGCAGCAAGGAACATGGACCGACAGCAGCGAGGAAGGTCCTCCTCCAAATTCTGCCGCCCACGGCACTCCTCCCGGCGCGGGGCCGCGGCTGCCGCGCACGTCCTCGTCGAACTCCTCCTCCCTTTTCTCCTCCTCCTCCTCCTCCTCCTCCTCCTCCTCCTCCTCCTCCCTAACGCTCCCATCCTCATCCCCTTCCTCCTGCTCCAGACTCTGGACTCTTCCTCCTCTCTCCTGATTCCCCTCCCTCCTCCGTACGTCCCCCTCCTCTTTCCTACCCCCCTGCTCCTCGTCTTCCTCTCCTCTATCCCTCGCCCTCCCTTCCTCCGCCTCGTCCTGCTGCTCCTCCTCGTCCACCGCCTTCCCTCAAACCTCTCGTCACCCGTTCAGTTCCATCTCCTCCTCCTCGCCCTCGTCCCTCCCTCCCTTCCTTGCCCTCTTTCCCTCCCTCTCTCCCTCCCCTGCCCTCCCTTTTCCTCTCCGTCCTTTTCTACATTGCTACATTTCGTTATCCTCCTTCCTGCTCCCCACCCACCCCCTCGTCTTCGGGTCTCCTCATCATCCTTATGTGCAGCCTCTCGTCCTGCATCTGCACCGACCAGTATTATTCCTGTTGTTAGAAGCTCCTCCTCCTGCTGCTGCTCAGACTGTTTTCTTTTTCCTCCTCCTCCTCCTCCTCCTCCTCCTCTACTTTCTGTCTGTGCCGCTGTTGTTGCCCCTCCTCCTCCTCCTCCTCCACCATCCCGTCCTCTACCTTCTCATCCTTCTCTGAATCCGAACACTCCCTCCTGCGACTGGTCTCCGTCACCCACTGGTCCTCCAACTCGTCCACCCCTTCCCCACCCCCATCCCGGAAGAGGATTCAGAGAGAGGACCTGTCCCTCCTCCCGATGCTGCTGCTCCTCCCTCTCCGATTCCCCCCTTCTCCGCTCCAATCCTCATCTCTCTTCGTCCTCCTCCTCCCTCCTCCCACTCCTCCTCCCTCCTCCTGCTGCTCCTCCTCCTCCTCCTCCTCCTCCCTCCCGCCCTCCCTCCCTCCCTCCCTCTTCCTCGTCCCTCCTCCTCCTCCTCCTCCTCCTCCTCCTCCCCTCCCTCCCTCCTCCCTCCCTCCCTCCCTCCCCCTCCCTCCCTCGTCCCTCTTCCTGCTCCTCCTCCCCCTCCCCCTCCCCCTCCTCCTCCTCCTCCTCCTCCTCCTCCTCATCCTCCTCCTCCTCCTCCTCCTCCTCCTCCCTCCCTCCTCCTCCACCTCCTCCTCCTCCTCCTCCACCTCTCCTCCTCCTCCTCCTCCTCCCTCCTCCTCCTCCTCTCCTCCTCCCCACCCTCGCCCTCCCCCTCCCCCTCCCCCCTCCCCCTCCCCCGCCTCCTCCTTCTTCTCCTTCTCCTCCTCCTCCTCCTCCTCCTCCTCCTCTCCTCCTCCTCCTCCTCCTCCTCCTCCTCCTCCTCCTCCTCCTCCTCCTCCTCCTCCTCCTCCTCCTCGTCCTCGTCCTCGTCCTCCTCCTCCTCCTCCCCATCACCAGCTCCTTCCCGATCCATCGCCCTCCCTTCACCCCTTCTTGTTCCTCGTCGTTCTCGTGCTCCTCCGCTCTCTCCTCTCCTCCTAATCGTAACGCTCATCGTCACCATCGTCGTCCATCATTATTGTCATTTCCTCCTCCTCCTCCTCCTCGTCCTCTTCCTCGTCCTCCTCCTCCTCTTCTGCCTCCCTCTAGGCCTCCGCGTGACGCCGCTCGGCGCTGCGCAGCTGCCTTTCCAGCCTCTCGTGGCGCTCTCTGCGCACCTCGGTTCGGCCGCGACGGGAAGAGCTCGAGGAACCCTCCTCTTCCCCCTCCCCTCCTCCTCCTGCTCCTGCTCCTGCTCCTGGTCCTCTCCCGCTCCTTCCCCTTGTCCCTGTCCTTGCCTCTTCCTCCCCCCTCCCCCTCCTCCTCCTCCTCCTCATACCCGTCCTCCTCCTCCTCCTCCTCCTCCCTCCTCCTCCTCCTCCTCCCGTCCTCCTCCCGTCCTCCTCCCGTCCTCCTCCCGTCCTCCTCCCGTCCTCCTCCCGTCCTCCTCCCGTCCTCCTCCCGTCCTCCCGTCCTCCTCCTCCTCCTCCCCTTCCATCTCGTCCTGCCCCTTACACCTCCACTCCTTCTTCCTCTGTCTGCTCCCCCCCCAACACTCCCCTTACACCTCGCGTCTTCCTCTCCTCGCCTCCTCCCCCTCCCTCCTCGCGTCCTCCTCGGTTCACTTCCCGCCCTATCCTCCGCTCCACTCCACCAAAGAGAGCTACTCCTCGTCGCACCACCAGATGTGTCGGCTATGTTTTCAAGTCGGCAGGTTTTGAACATATGGCTCACTGCGCACACTTATAAACTTCATTTGGATGGCGCCTCCCTTTTCAACATGATATGAAACTTGCCTGGCGCCACGCGCCCCTATCGGCGTGTGCGGGGGGATTTCCCTTTCGGGGCTCTTCTGTCTCTGTGGCCACCCTGTGGCCCCGTCCTCCGGAGCTCTCCCCCCCTTTCCCTGCGGCCACCTGGGACACTCCAAGCTCGACAGCTCGAGATGTGAATCGACCCGAGTCGTCGAAGGGGAACCCCTTCCCTAAGACTCTCACCTCTTCCCCTCTGGTGAAGGAGGATCTCGGAAAAGACCCACCCAAGGTGGACAAGAACGGGGGGCCGGGAGAGGTGATCCATCTCCGCCCCGTGCCCGCTAGAGCCCGCTAGAGCCCTCTCGGGACCAACCTCCTCGGATCACTTCACTGCTCTTGGGAATCTCTCAAGAAACATTCTCGCCGCATCGTTCGCAAGAGCGTCGAAGCTGGTCAAGGAGCCCCCAAGACCAGCCCAACATTGCCCAATGGGTTTCCCAACATGGGCCAAGAGGCCCCCAAGACGGGCTGCAAAAGCGCACTACCGATCCGCCTCTGGAACCCAACCCTTTCAGCAAGATCCCAAGACCCCCAGGAGGCCAAGAAGAGGCCCCAGCAGGCCCGGAGGCGCTCCAAGACACATTCGAATGGACAACAACAAAACCCATTAACCTTTCCAAACGCGGCGCTCTCCAGGGGCTCTCTCGGGCCCTCATACGGCTTTGTGGCCGGAAGGCGCAAATTATGCACCTACGCCGACCGTGGCCAGGCCAATCCTCAACCAATTTAATCGGCGCGTACGCACTCCTGGCCAACCTAGACGGGCCGTTTGAAACATGTCTCCAATACCCTTGCGTGGCCAAGGCACAAGCCGGGGCCGAACACCACTGGATTCCCGTCCTCGCACTAAAGCCGCCACTGCCCCTGACCCCCGTCGGCCTTCCGCCTCATGTGCCCAAAGTCCTCCTCCTCCTCCTCCTCCTCCTCCTCCTCCTCCTCCTCCTCCTCCTCCCCTTCTCATGGTCGGCGGAACCGGCCGCAAGGCCTTTGCAGTATGACAATCGCCTGGCGCCGCGCGCATGAGCTTTCATATCGTACGGCTCCGATCCAAGAGCGTGGCCGACGCCAGAGCGATGCACCGTTCCGAACCAAGCCGAGCGAAGACGAGGCAAGACACGGCAATCAGTACCCGCGCTGGTTCGTGGCCTCAAACGCCTCAAACAAAAAGCGCGACGCCTCGGGCACCAAACGATGAGGCCCTTCACGCAACAAATGACGGGCGCTCAACTACGCGCTGGCAGAGACCCTCAACGCAGAAGACAGCAGGCGCGCAGCCGCACGCTGGCCGCAAGACATCGAAGGCGTCGTGCCTGGGCCTACCTCGAAGATAATTGCCCTTGGGCAACGACGCATGTTGCACACTCAAGAAGCCGCGCCGTCGAACTGAGGGGGGGAGCAAGGAGAAGGAGGAGGAGGAGGAGGAGGAGAGGAAAAACATAGGGAGAGGTGCAGGGAGTAAATGATGAGTTGGAAGGGACCGGAGGCAGGAGTCAGTTCTAGGACGGGGAGGGAGAGACGTGGCATGATGACTGAAAGAGGATGGAAGGACTGAGGGAGAGAAGGCGAGCGGACGTGGAGTAGACTGGGAATCGGGTGGGAGAGAATGGGTGAGCGGCGAAGGAGGCATGCTTCAAGAGGCAGGTCGGAGTTGAGGGAAAAGGGCGGAACAATGTGTAGCAGGTCTTTTGGCCGTGGTGTGATCTGGTTGGGCTGCCTCCCCACCCCGAGGCCCCCCCCCCCTGGGCTACGGACGCAGCCCACCCAGAGGGGGAAGCATCGGTGCTCCTCGATGGGACACCGATCGGAATGAAGGTCGGCGCGGCGGGCGCCCGGTCCCGAGGACGAGACAACGACGGCCAGTGCCCGCCCCCCTGGGGCCCACGCCAGGCGCAAGGACGCCTCCAGCTCCGCCTCCACGGCGCCGAGCTCCTGCAGCCCCGAAAGCCCCCTATCCCTCTCGCGCGCCCCTCTCCTGCTCCCCCTGCCCCTGCCGGGCTCCCGCGCTTCTGCTGCTCACCGCTCCACCACCCCCCGCCTGCTGATCCTTCGCCCCCCTCCTCAAAACTCCCGTCTCCTCCTCGCTTTCGTCGACGTCCTCATCCTCGTCGTCGTCCTCCTCCGCCGCCCTCTCTCCGTCCCCGTCCGCCTCTTCTTGTTGTTTCCTGTTTGTCATTATTCCCAACCCTCCTTGGTTGGGTATTCGTATTGATGAGAGGGGTGTGGTCGCGTCCTCCTCCCGCCTCCCGCCTCCTCCTGCCCTCTCTTCGCCGTCCCTGGGGGGCTGCGATCTGCGAAACTGTCGCCATGAGCGGGACCTCGCCGTCCCTGGGGGGCTGCGATCTGCGAAACTGTCGCCACTTTCGAGGGCTGCTGCTGGGTCCTGCGGAGTGAGGCACCGCCAAGATCTGAGCGAAACCTCGCCGTCCTGGGGGCTGCGATCTGCGAAACCGTCGCCACACTCGAGGGGTGCTGGTGGGTCCTGCGGAGTGAGGCACCGCGCAGATCTGAGCGAGACCTCGCCGTCCCTGGGGGGCTGCGATCTGCGAAACTGTTGCCACTTTCGAGGACTGCTGGTGGGTCCTGCGGAGCGAGGCACCGCGCAGATCTGAGCGACACCTCGCCGTTCTTGGGGGGCTGCGATCTGCGAAACCGTCGCCACACTCGAAGGGTGCTGGTGGGTCCTGCGGAGTGAGGCACCGCGCAGATCTGAGCGAGACCTCGCCGTCCCTGGGGGGCTGCGATCTGCGAAACCGTCGCCATGTTCGAGGGCTGCTGGTGGGTCCTGCGGAGTGAGGCACCGCGCAAATCTGAGCGAAACCTCGCCGTCCTTGGGGGGCTGCGATCAGTGAAACCGTCGCCACTTTCGAGGGCTGCTGGTGGGTCCTGCGGAGTGACGCTCCGCGCATATCTGAGCGAGACCTTGCCGTCCCTGGGGGGTTGCGATCTGCGAAACTGTTGCCACTTTCGATGG